TGTGACACTCCCCTTCCCCCTTCTTGTCTAGTTTAAAGTCCTCCTAACCAGGTTGGCCAGCCTTTTGGCAGAGACATTTGTCCCTCTTGCTGAGATGGATCCCATCATTCCCCACTAGCTGGTGGTCATCAAACAGAGTCCTATGGTCATAGAAGCCAAAACCCTGTTGCCAAGCCCAGCAGAGCAGCCAGTTGTTAACCTGCCATATCTGCCTTCTCCTCCTTGAATCCATTCCCCTCATTGGTAGGATGGAGGAGAACACTGCCTGGGCTCCCATACCTTTGACGGCCATCCCTAGGGCCCTGAAATCTCGCTTGATTTCCCTCAGTTTCCCCATGGCATCATTAGTGCCCATGTGAAACAGCACCAAGGGTAATGGTCACACTCCTGAACAAGCCTTGGGAGCCTCTCTGTAACATCCTTTATTTTGGCCCCTGGCAAGTAGCAGACCTCTCTGGATGAGGAATCCGGTCTACATATCGGTGCTTCCGTGCCCTGCAGCAGGGAGTCACCCATGACGATCACCCGCCGCTTCTTGCGGGTGCTCCTTTTCTCCTTAGGGAGCAGCCTCGCAGCGTGGACCTGACTGCCTCTCTGTAGACAGCTCCCTAGATGGGCCTTGGTTCATGACTTCCTCTCTCTGATCCCCACATGCCTGTTGGACGTGGTCACTGGTGGAAGTGAGGTGGGCCGTGGAAGGGTTCTCCTGCCACCTCGAATAGGAACCTGTTTCCGTTGTTGTTCGTCCCTTGATACTGTTAATTTTGCCCCCTCTGCCCTACAGCAAGAGGGTACTGGATTTACAGACTGAATTGTGGGGTTCTCTTGGGTGCCTTTCCTGGGAAGACTGCGGAACGCAGCTCTACCAGTCTATTTCTCTTTCACATTCCCTGATGACACTCAACCTTTCTACCTCCTCCGTCAGCAGGTCATCCGCCTGCTCACACCTAAGGCAGGCGATGTTTTCGCTACTCCTTGGTGACATGGAGCGGCTCAGACATTCCCCACAGCTAGAAACCTAGACCGCTAAAAGCGGTCTGAAAATCAAACAAGACCACTCAACCCAGCTTCCCCCAAGAAACACAACATCTTGCCAGAAGTACATGCATCTTGCCAGCACTGAAATCATCTTTAGAGGCAGGGGGATTTTATCACTTGCAGATGAGCCATAATAAAGGCTCTTATGCACACCACCAAGCTGCTGTATTTGTTACTAAACAAATACTAGTAACAAATATTCTGCTGGCACAATATTCCAGTTTTTAAATGGTCCTTCAATAAAGGCACTCACTTTTGCAGCCGCTGGTTCCACTAGTCTCTGACGGTGACGTGCTGAGCTGAAATGACTCTTCTGAGGCGCCCCTTCCTGACAGTGAATGGAAAAAGGGAAGAAGAAGAACAGAGAAAGGGGAGAAAATGGATCGTGGAGGGGATGGAATGGAGGATGTTGGAGAAGGAAGAGGAAGAGTATTTAACTGAACTGTATTTTCACTAACTTTGCATGAGTTTTATGAAATCATTTTCAATAATTTCATCACACAAATATCAGAAAGAAAATTTAAATATTTTACTAGAAGTAGTCTCATGAGACATTTACATATGTACTACTCATACGCATTTAATGACGCTGTCCACTACAAAAAATAGACATATGCATAAATATGTCTACTTTATTACAAAAAACTCCTCTTGCTGTTCCAAAGTATTTATATTGTCTGATATTTTTATATTAATTTCCGAAGTTGCACAGCACAAAATGTAATAAACTGATGTGATTATTCTCACACCAAAGAAGCATTCAGACTCCTGAAGAGGCCCATACGGGCTGTCCCTCCAGTAACATCAGTAGCAGAGACAATACAGCTTTCTAAAACAAAATATATTAGCAGCTCATTTTGTTAGAGCAAAATAAGCAGAAGAGCCGAACTGACAAAACACAATTTTTAACAAGGTTAGTTTCAACAGATATTTCATACACTGTTGCATTCCCAAGGATCCACATTAATTCTCATACTAACAGGTAGCGAAAGTCAAGAACTCTCCTGGATTTCATTATCTCCTGTGCAAAGAGCAAAGGAAATTCCAGATCTGTGTTTATCAGGAGTACATCACACTCACTCTGGTGCCACTTCTCATTTAGTACCAACAACTTCACATTTTTGCTCGAGTGAGTGAGGATGTCGGCGAAGCTGAGGTGCCCAATACATAAACCACAGCAATAGTGCCAGACCAAGGAGGCCATCTCCCCGCATCTCTCACCCACTCACTCCTATCCCTCATTACTCCCTCTGCTGTTATCGGTACAAATGTTTGCAGTTCTGTTCCGCCAGCCTGACCCCTCAAGTGATTCGGGTTAAATACAGCTCCCACGGAGGCAGGAAAACCCTTCCCAGCCCAGGTCACCTCTTTGCTGAGCTCAAAACAGAGCTGTTGTGAGCTGGATCACTGACGAGAACAGTTGCGCTGTGCCATGTGCTTTAGGTGACTCTGCATGTGCAGGGGGGTTGGACTACATGATCTCTAGAGGTCTCTTCCAACCCTAAGCATTCTATGATTCTATGAAGCTGTCCATGCCACACTGCTGCTATAGCCATTTATAACAAAATTGGGAAGGAAACCTAACAGGCAAGTCCAAGTAGGGATGAATGTTTATCACCGGATTTGTTTGAAATGCAGTTGTCTATCTTTGGGGTGCAAATGAGATGAGAAATTAATAAAAGCTGCTGAGATTCCAAAAACCACACAACTGGGATTTCAGATCAAGAATAGAGGTGATAATGATGACCATTAGGAGTCTAGCTTGAGGACAGAAGTATTCAATAAAGGACATCTGTAGCATGCAGAGGCATTAGGCTGTATCTATATAAGTCTTTCAATGCATCATAAACTCACACTGATAAAAACCGTTTCTGCAGTTGCACCTTCCAGCTTAGCTATACATGCTGCTCCAAGAGAAACGAGTGACAGACAAACAATAAAGAAAAACTGGGATCAGGGTGAGCATCTCAGAAGTAGAGCTATCTTTCATTTAAAGGGCAAAAAACCCTCACAGAGAATACAACGCATTCAGAGAGATGGCATGGTTATACAGGCTGAGCACGTCCTGCGGCTCCACGACACCCTCACACAGGTACTGCCTTTTCCGAGAAATAGGCCAGTTGCAAATGATCCATTGATACAATGAGCCGGCAGTGAGGAAATCCTGTAAAGGCCAAAACTTTGCATAAAACAATATGATTCCAGACACTAAAGACAACTGAAGGGAGAAGGATCCCAAACAAGCCCTAACCAAGACAAGGCCTCTAGGTTAGGCAGATGACGTGCAGAAGACCAGATTTGTTTCGCTTCCCAGACAAGCAGTCCAAGAAACAAGGTTCTGGAAAGCAGAGGTCCCTACAGAAAAGCTAACAGAAATAAGACACATTGGTACTGAGCACAAGAAAGGGCTTGGCTCTGAAGGCACAGGCCAGAGAGCCGCGGGGAGCAGACAAGGTGCTTTGCTCTGCAAAGGCTCGCGCAGCAAGGGACGGGGCTCAGCACTGCAGCCAGAAAGCATCTCCGTATGACAACACTTGCCATTAGCAGCACAGTTGCCCTCACAGATGCAGTGATATCAATTCACCTACGTGTTGTGATAAAAAGCATGTTCTCTCAGCTGAAGAAATTTCTACCCTCAGATTGCTACACTGGCAAGTGTCCTCCTTCCCCTCCGTCCTCATCTTTGTTAACTGCCAAACTGAGATCAGAAGTGACAGTGGCAGTAATCTCAAGCAGAGGAGATAAAATCCACCGAAAAGCAACACAAATTGGCACCCGATAGCTTTGCAGGTGGTTAGAATGAAGGAAAACTATACAGTAACAAATCCATTCACTTCATACTGGCCAAATCCTAACACTGGCAGATCTCAATATTTTTCCATATTACTCATGTCAGCCTCACTCTTTAGGAACACCTCCTCACACATCCCCAAACTGTGACCTTAGCATCCTCTTCCTCCTTCCCAGGCCTGGCCCTGTGCTATTCCCTCAAGATAAAACTCTAATCAAGATTTAAGGCACTGCTGCTCCACAGTCAGCAACCTGCCTGAGCATCTCAGCACTCACAGCTAGGCAAGAGCCACAGGGCAGGAAAGCCCAGAGCCAGGGCCTGCTGACACCGCTACAACTGTGCGCTGAACGTTGCCCTGCACTGGGATCTACCTCCTGCTCTACTATCTCCCCCACTAGAGTAGTTGTTCACTCCCAGTGGCTGTGTCTGGAGAGCAACAGCAGAGACAGGGCAGGAGGCGGTGCCATCCCACAGCTGGCCCACCGTAGCACCCAGGAGGCATCTGCACCTCACCTTGAACGCGCAGGCCGCGTGTGCAGGCACCTCTGATGAATGATGGAGAGGAGGTGGGGACACACAAGGTGAGCTAGTTCCCTGCTGCCTGTTACGCAGACATTAGTGACCAGGTCCAGGCAATGCTCTTTAAGCACAGTGTGTCAGTGAGAGGCAAAGCAAGCTACACGTCCTCACACGTTTCAGACGCGTTTGAGAAACCCCATCTGACACCCAAGAGTCTGCAGCTAATCTCCTCTCTCTCTCTCTCTCTCTTTAGATCCCAGGGGCGCAGACTTCTACACACCTTCACTGTCCTTCTGCATGATCCCTGGTTTACAAAAAGATATAATTGCAAGGATGTGGTTAAGGAACCCAGTCCTTAAGAAAGATTTTCTAAAGCTTAAGGAAGCAACTATCTTTAAAGTTTCAGAAAAAAATCACACTGTAATTTATCATTACAAGCTCAGCTAAAGCAAAGCTGTCCTGATGCACTTTAATGAGATACATAACATCTGAAATCACGTATAAAAATGTAAAACTGAAGTTCGTGGGAGCTTTTATTACATACTTACTATAATATTTTAATTTCTACAAAATATATCAGTAATTTCATTAAGTCATCAATAACACTTAAGTGCAAACCATTAAAGTATTTTTAATCAATACTTCACATTGAAGGGGTTATTGTAGCCATTAAAACACATGTAATCTAAAAGCAAAAATCCTGGTCTATACTTCATGATGCTTGGGCAGCTTTTTTCTCTTTTGCAGGGCCAAGACACCACACACAAAAGATCTGTTCAGTCTCTGATACTAAGTGTTATGGCTTCAGATTGGTTGATCAGTTTTTCACTGTTACAGAAAAGGATTCCCAGTGCCTGTAAAACAACAGACCTTTTCCCATACATTTTCATTTAAAACATTAAAACAGTTTAATTCTATATATGCAGAAAGAGGCAGATGGGAGGTGCAGCAAAGAAGGGAAATCACATGCAATCTTGGATTTGACTTGTTCCCAAAGATTTTCACAAAGCTACAAGAGAGAGAACCACAAAAAATATTCAAGTAACAAAAACAAGCCTAGAAATAGTAAACATACAGTCTACTTTAGTGAAATTACACTAACTCATCAACATTGAAGGATATATATATATAAAAAAAAAACACTAGACAGAATTCATCTTGCTCTCATCGTGACGGTGTATTATCTTCCACTAATACATTGAGGACATTCGGATGACGATGGGAAGAACATGGAAGAAACAGCCTCCAGGAGAAACATCTGAGTTACTGTTCATATGCCAAGAAAAAAATTTAAAACCATATCCAGTGCTGCATGTAAAGGGGTGGCTCTGGTCAGCCTGTGGTGTCCTGCTACATGAAGCAGGTATCCTGCAGGTGAAGCAGTGGTGGAGGCTTCTCCTCGAAAGCAGGAACAGCAGTGCAGAAAGGGCTTCTCTCTTACATTACATTATTTGACCCAAGTTTTAAGCATGTTGTTTTATCTTTGAAAGGAAGTGTGCTGAACAAATGGATGTAGTTGGGAACTGAGGTGCTACGTAAGTACAGCCATCACAAAATTCAACTGAGGTGTGAGGAAGGAGCTGTGAGGAGGGCTTGAACTTGTCCACATCTCTGAAGAAGGAAGAGCAGAACACGGTTGTAGCTGCAGAAATCCATGAAGATGCCTCAGCAGTTCAACACTCTTCTTAAGTGTGTTTCTGATACACACTTAAATAGAGAGGGGCCATCATAGAGCAACAAAGATGATTAAGGGATTGGAGCATCTATTGTATGAGGAAGGACTAAGCGAGCAGGGCCTATTTAGCCTGGAGGAGAAAAGATTGAGAGGGGATCTTATCGACATGTACAAATGCCCGAGGGGAGAATGTAGAGAGAATGGGGCCAAACTCTTCTCAGTGGTGGCCAGTGACAGGACAAGGGGTAATGAGTGTAAGTTGAAACACAGGAACTTCCACCTCCATATGAGGAAGAACTTCTTTCCTGTGAGGGTGACAGAGCACTGGAACAGGCTGCCCAGA